TCAGCTTTATGAGATAAAATTCCAGGGCTCCACTAATATGAATACGACATTGCCACCATGTTAGGCATTTGTGGCATTTGATGAGAACATAACTACATCCGTAACGTCGTTTAGGCATATAAGTTTGTATTAAGTTTTATATGTGTATGCCTAGCTGAGGAGGGGCATTCTGTCATAATTTCAACTTTGAACCCCCAAAACATGCTGCTTAATTCAAATCTGCCATGATTCTATGATAGCTAAAAGTTTGCCTTGTAAAGGCAATTATTCTTTTAGTATGCTTTTATTGTGAGATTTTTATAGTGATAACCAATAGATTGTAAATTTTGGTTGCTCTTATAAGGAGAATGAAACAATCTTTTTATTGAAGTTTTATGATTAAGATGGCTTTGAGGATATTTTAAATATATCCAGGTCCAGTGGAATTTAATATTAGCATTATAATTTCAGTTAATTTATGTATCTGTGGAGTATTAGTAGTAATAATTACTGCTCACTTCTGAAGAAAGCTGCATAAGATCTAGTGTAATTTTCAGTCTGCTGTGTAAATGTCCACCCTTCAAAGCCATCTTATTTTGTAAGATATGTATTTAGAATGTTTATTGCTCCGTATTCTATCATTCTCTAAGCTCATAGAAACCAAAACAGTCTGCCTATGGTCCCCTTAATGTGTGTGCATGGAGCACTTCTTATTAATGGGACTTGTGCACAGTCATAACAAGATTACTTATTAGAGCCTAATACTGATCAACAGTTTTTTACAGCATGCAAAAAATAAAGTAAAATCTTATAGCATAGCTAAAAATCAAAAGTAATACTAATAAGACTAACAAACACTTTTTTGCATGACAGTCGTGTTTTTTGTGTGTCCGTTATTTAAGTGTATAACTTCATGGACTCTTTCAGCAACCTAATATTAGAGGCTATGGCCATAAAGATTTCTAGATCTATTTGTTGGTATACACCATTAATTGTTTTGTATCTGTTACCAGTGGAAACGAGAACAAGAATTTGATTTGCAGTTACTTGAGAGAGCAATACGTGGAGAAGAGAAAAATGAAAATGACAGGTTAAAAATTCAGCCTGTACCAGTGACAGAGATGGATCTGGAACCTCAAGATTATAACTTAGATATCAGCAGAGAGGTAATGCTAGTGGCATACAGTATGTCCAAAATTCTTTGGTCTTTCAGGTTTTCTAAGTTTTAGGTAATTCTTCTTCTCTCAAATTCTTGTGTTTCAAGAACACAAAGTTCCAGTTTAATAGAGAGTTTTATAAACAATAAAGAACTACTCTGGTGGCCTTGTGCTGAAAGTGGCTCACTTTCGGAGAACAGGATCATATGAGTGTTTGACCTTATTAGAAAGAAAGTGTTAAGTGTTCACTCTGTGCTGTAGAAAATATTTACAAAAGTTTTAGAAGAGAAAAAGCAAACAAATTATGTATTGCATATGCAGATTTCAGATTATATTTGAAAGGGTTAGGCACTAAAGGCTAATTTAAAATAGGAAGTAGGGAAAGCAATAGAAGAAAAAGCTAGCTCAAGGAAGCTATCCCGCTGTGACTCATGGTTAATGTGAACTGACACAACACAATTCAGCAGATGAGTGAATGTCTCTTTTTATACTGGTCAGGAAAGATAAATCTTGTCTTTACTATAGGCTATCTGAAAAGTATAAATCTGTGATATCAGTGTTGGATTTTGTCAGCAGCTTTCATAACTCAGTACAGCATTTGTTTAAAATGCTATAGAGCCATCTGGTGGCTCAGAGGCAGTATAACATAGTGTTGTGTGAAAAGGGAAATGAAAGAATCTGAAAGTATTTCATAGAATCATAGAATATCGGGGTTGGAAGGGACCTCAAGAGGTCATCTAGTCCAACCCCCTGCTCAAAGCAGGACCAATTCCCAGCCAGGGCTTTGTCAAGCCAGGCCTTAAAAAACTCCTTTGTAATAGAATGCAGTCTTGTTGTAGCTGTGTCGGTCCCAGGATTTTAGAGAGACAAAGGGCACGTCTATACTTACCTCCGGGTCCAGCGGTAAGCAATCGATCTTCTGGGATCGATTTATCGCGTCTTGTCTAGACACGATAAATCGATCCCGGAAGTGCTCGCCGTCGACGCCGGTACTCCTGCTTGGCGAGAGGAGTACGCGGAGTCGACGAGGGAGCCTGCCTGCCACGTGTGGACCCGCTGTAAGTTCAAACTAAGATAGTTCTACTTCAGTTACGTGAATAACGTAGCTGAAGTTGCGTATCTTAGTTCGAAGTGGGGGGTTAGTGTGGACCAGCCCAAAGTGGGTGAGGAAATATCTTTTATTGGACCAACTTCTGTTGGTAAGAGAGAGAAGCTCTTGAGTTTACACAGAACTCTTCTTTGGGTCTGGGAAACTGATTCAGTGTCACAGCTAAATAATAGTGGAACAGATTGTTAAGCATAAGTAGTTAACACATATTTCAAGGGACCATTCAAGGTGAAATGGCCCATTAATACTCCTCCAGTCATAGGGAGGAAAGGAAGGGATGGGGGAGCAGCTGTAATAAGCCATAAATCCAGTTTCTGTATTCAGTCTATGATTTTTAGTGTCTAGCAAAGTTATGAATTTAATCTCCCAGGCTCGACTTTTGAAAGTGTTGTGCAGGTTTCTTTTGAGGATGAGGATTGATAGGTCAGAGATAGAATGATCGCTTTGTGAAAAGTGTTCACCCACAAGTGTGTGGTGTTTTTGTCTTTTATCATTTTCCTGTGTGCATTCATTCAAGATCATAGTGATTGTCTGTTTTCACCCACATAGTTGCTATTGAGGCATTTAGTGTACGGAATGAGTTGAAAAGTCAGTAGAGATCCTTAACAATGTCTTGAATTGCAGTACATTGCCTGTGGAATCAGGAAGTTGTTATACCTTGATACCTTCATATTGGAGTCTTTGCTGATAGAGTTCAGTTGATGATGGATCAGTACTTTTGATGAATCTTTGTATGTGTGCAATGAGGAGCACTCCACTCCTGTGGATTTTGGGAGTCGGGGAAGTGATGCCCTATTCTTACAAAGCTGCTCAGCTCTACCCTGGCCTATTGGAATCCTTTGCAATACTTAAGTTGAACAGGAATAGAGCTTTACTCCTGTAGACCCTGCAAGGTGCACTACAGTACAGCTCCCCTCATGCACGTATTTGGAAATTTGCAGGACTAAGGGCATGTCTACACTATAAAATTAAGTCAACCTCACTTACGTTGGCACACAGACACCGCAGTAATTACATCGGTTGTACGTCTTAACACTTTGCTCCTTGTGTCAGTGGTGTGTGTCCTCACCAGGAGCGCTTGCACCAATTGAACTGTCAGTGTGGGGCTTTGTGGGATGACTTCTGAAAGCGAGCAACAGTCGATGTAAGCAACATAGTGTCTACGCTGACACTGCGTCGACCTAACCACATCGACATTGACTCTACACCTCTTGTGGAGGTGGAGTTAAGTCAGTGTAGCGGGTGAGTTGTGTTGGTGAGAATGAAATTTTAGTGTAGACACTTAAAGTTAGATCGACATAAGCTGCCTTGTGCCGACCTAACTCTGTAGTGTAGACCAGAGCTTAGTGTGAACTAGAATACCAAGGGTGGATGGAAAGCTGCAGAGCTGGAGACTCATCTCTGTTGACAGTGGCAACAGCTGTGCCCTGTTTGGTCAGACCTTTTCTCTAGGAATGATATTTCCCTTTAATTAATTATATGCATATCTGATCAGTTTTGTGGTAGATACATAGTCTATGTATCTATGATACAACAGTTATCATTTTTTTAAAAATGCAGGACCCAGTCTAGAAGTCTGAAGGAGTAGCTAATTCTCCATGCCCATTAGATTCATGCCCCTTCTGATGAAATTCCTGCTAAAGGTGCCAGTTGTAATGGGGGGGGGGTCCTCCACTCTAAGCCACCTTTCTGGCTTCCCCTGCCTTCTGGGGCTGGCTCCTGGTACAAGTTAGAGCAGCCCAAAACTGCTCTGGTCCCCTACAGGGCTATTATGCTGGCAAGATTTCTGGAGTGCATTGGGTCCTAGCCTCATCCTCTGGCCCCTGGAGTGCTCCCTGTGCTGAGAGGGATATCATAAGAGGCTAGCATAGAGCCATCTGTGTTGGCATTTTGCCAATTGAATCCCCCATGCCATGGGACTCCCCAGCTGTCCCTTTAGGGCAAATCTATGGTCACTTTGCATAGTAAAGTGGCACAAATTTAATTCAGCAGAGATGAGGATCTGGATTAAGGGCTTCTTTTTCTTGTCACCTCACCAGACCATGTCCATGTCACCCTGGCCTCAAGCTCCCCCACACTCTTTAAGAAAACACACAGTTCTGTCTCTTTGGCCAACTGACCTGCTGCTCACACTTTCTAGACTTTTGCTTGATTGTTTTACACTATACACTGTCTGGCCAGTCTGCTTGAGTCAGTGCAAAGTGACCAGATGAGCTGATCTAGCCTCAGCAGAGATACTTTGCAGGATACCTGCTGAACTCAGAATTAAGTTGCCTTAAAAAGTAAGGAAGTCTGATGGAAAAAGGGAAGTCTCAGGAGGCAGACCTCTATGGCTGATTGAGGTTGGAGGAATAGAACTTTGGGGGTACTCCGTAAGAATATGACAAAAGGAAGGTTAGAGTCTGATATTTTGGTTCTAAAGTTATTTGAGTTCTGAATAATATGATTTCTGTATTATGTTATTTGGGTTTGTGGTCGCTTCTAGTGTACACTTATACCAATGGCTAGGGGTGCCCACTCGGTGAAAAATCAGGTAATTTCTCATAGGCCACTGAATTGGGTTGGATTTTAATGCAGTGACCTAAAGGTGAAAGGCTTGGGATCTCTTTACTGAAAACTCTGAATCATTCAGTCCTCCAGATAGGTTTCAACTGCAGATCCAAAGAAGAGAAAGAGGTCCACTCTTTTCTTCACCTTTCCTTTACTCTTACATTATTCATTTGTGTTCTTCACGAGCACTTTACGTTTAATCAGTGTTGGCTACCAAAGTGCCCTTGTAAATTTGCTGCTCACTGGCTGGTTCAATATCATATGAATGTGTCTCATTCAGCTCTGAATTCTTCAAGCAGGAAATCCGTCCAAGTTAAAATTGCTAGATGTATTGCCAGCTGTTTTGCAACTCCCTAATTAGAAGTTTTAATCTGCATTATTATATTTGCATAATATGTGTAGTATTAATCACACAGTGTGTATGTCTGTGTCACATGGCCTCTGTGGCAATTTTTGGGACTCCCGAGGTTTCAAATGAACATTTAAAAAAAAAAAACAACCCTCCAAGCATTTCCTCCTTTGCTATTCATAAGGAAAGGTCGCGAGTGCCCCAGACCCTGTAAAATACAAGCATTCAAACTTTAGGCTATATTTGCTTTGTAGCAAAGGCCCCAAGAGGATCTCAGCTTTGGCCTCCTCTCTCAACTTTATACAGCAACCTTAAGCAAGACAATTCCACTCTGGGCTCTGCTGCCTGACAGAATGAGCTGCAGAAAGAACCTGTATTAACCCCGACTCCTCCCACAATCTCCTCCACCAGTCACAGCTCCACACCAATGACTTACCTCCCAAAAGGAGAGAAAAAATCAGAAGGGAAAAAATTCTTAAAGTGCATTAGTTCAAGTTCAAAGGGAATCAGGGAAATACACAGGGCTGTGAAGACCCATATCATATTCCAGTCAATGTGCACATGCAATTCCCATTTGGGTTAATATGTCTAGTGGAGAATAGCTATACCTTTGAGTTTTTGAAGTCCTAGGTATCAGAAGTTACGTTCTCTCTCTTTTTCCATAGTTGTCAAAACCTGAAAAGGTGGCAATTCCAGAACGCTATGTTGACCTGGACCCTGAAGAACCTCTCAGTTCAGAAGAATTAGCCGCAAGACACCGTAATACAGAAAAGATAAAGAATATTCTTACCAGGTCTAGGTCAGATTATTTTTATAATCCCTCCTTTCTTTTTAATCTCAAACAACTCTATACCCCAGACTGTTTCAGATTCAGTGCTGATTATTAAACCAAGGTACAATGTATTACGTAACTTTTATGAAAAATATACATGATAAATACACTTAATACTCAGAGAGGGATATGTATATCCAAACAATATAGGAGGAGGGATTATCTATAAAATTCCAGGCATGTCACTGTGTGCGTCACTCTGAAGCTTTAAAATATCTGTACAAGAAGTCAGAAGTGATGGAATCAGATACAAGCATGCTTGAAAGCTGTTTTTGTTCAGAATGTCATCAGAATCATCACTGGGTTTTGTGGTCTGTTACTGTCCAATTTTTAAATTCTCAGCCAATTTGACTTTACGAATTACACTTGTGCGGTGCTCAGCTACGGTAAGGCATATATCTATATCATGCCAAGAGGTTCTCAGACTTTAGCAACCTGAGGACCCTCATTTTTATTTGAAATTTTTGGGGACACCCAACCCCCTCTCCCTCCGCTCAGCCCTTGCCCTGCCCCTTCTCCAAGGCCCCGCCCCCACTCACTCTATCCACCCTCCCTCCATCTCCCCCACTCTCACTCACTTTCACCCCAGGCTGGGGTATGGGGTTAGGGTGCAGGAGGGGGTGTGGGCTCTGGGAGCGAGTTTGGGTGCAGGAGGGGGTGAGAGGGGTGTGAGCTCTGGGAGGGAGTTTGGGTGTGGGGTGCAGACTCTGGGCTGGGGCACAGGGTTGAGGTGCAGGAGCGGGTTTTGGGGGGAAGTTCTGGGAGAGAGGGAGTTTGGGTGCACATCCCTCTGGCAGCTGCTCCTAGGAGGGGGGGCCAGGGTGCCTCCACACATTCCTAATTCACCACCCACACAAATCCACACAACTCTCCCAGCAGAACACAACCCCCACACAACATAGTCCGCACACAGAATAACCCTGAACTTCACTCTGTAGCCTAGAATATCCACTGAGTCAGTGTGAAAGTGTGAAAACAGCTATAAGCATGGTTGAGACCTATTTTTGTTCAGAATATCACCAGGTTCAATCATCACTGGGATTTGTAGTCTGTTTCTATTCAGTTGTTCAATTCTTAGCCATTTTCATCTTTTATATAAATATGACTTTATCAATTACAGCTGTAACATGGGCTGCAGCTACTAGTGTCCTAATAATGACTTTTACTTGTATGTCTGAGTGTTTAAAAGCATTAGTGAATCCTGACAAAATGTCTTTTAGGTAGGTATGGTAGGTAAACTGAGGCATGGAGAGGTGGTGATTTGCCCAAAGGCAGAAAGGCCATGTCAGAGCTGGGGTTAGAACACTTTTTTTTATCCACTATGCTACACCTTTTAGACACAGATTTTCAAAGAACTTGCTGACTACTTAGAGCTGGTATAGACTTCCTCATATTGACACAGTTGAAACTTTCGGCATAAAGAGTTATATCATCAGCTCAGGTGCCTGCCATGTCATTTAGAATCTGTTTGAAGAGACGGCACCTGTAGGCCACTAGGTTGTGCCTCTTTCTCTTAGCGCTAACAAGTATCCTCACTAACTTCAAAGAAGAGTCATTAATTTTTCATATTGCTTTCATGTAAACAAACCTGTTTTCAACAAAGGGCTTTAAGATACATTTGAAGCTGTGCATGAGTCATTGCAGAAGATATAATGACTACGTTATTTGTTTGTGGTATATACTGTAGTCACTGCATTGTCAGTGTATCTAAATCACTGGTTTGTAAAGCATTTTACAAAAGTCTGGAGTATGATATCTGGGGTATGAAACTAAGCTTTGTTCTGTGCTGCACCATGGATTTTCTGTATGTTTGTAAATGTTAATGATGTTTTTTCACTTTCCCACTAGTATGCACAACCTACAGCCTACTGTTGCTCAGGACGAACACAACTCAGTTGATTTAGATTCACAGCTGCAGGAGCAGGAACGCATCATTACCATATCATACGCTTTGGCTTCTGAAGCCTCTCAGCGGAGCAAGGAGGTAGCAGGTAATGCTCCGTTATTTCCAAAATAATGGCAGTGACAAATGTGTTCTTATTCTTATTGCTACCTACTTTTAAGAGTCTATATGGTTGTCTGCTGAACTGCACTGTATACAGATGTTGCCACTATGATACAATTCTATTGACAGCCTTATTTAAAATTAGGAATCGAACAGCAGATATCAAATTCTACAGATACCGAACTAGACTAGAGAGGCTTGATGATTGGCTATGAAAATTTGGCCTGGTGTAAAAAGAAAGGGAAATATCTCTCTGGTTATGATTATGAAGCTGAAAGCCTGCTATTGTTATAGGTGGCACTGATACATCTAGCCCATCGTATTTGAGATTTTAATCCCGTGACCTCGAAACTGTGACATAGTCATTACTGAGTAGCCTAAATTACAATACTTTGCCTTTTGAAGTGACAGAATCGTTTTTTACACTTATTTAAAACATTACTGTGAATGTAAAAAATGCAGAGAGAAATTGGTTTAAGGGAAACAGAGCACTGACATTTGTTTGGGATTTTGATCGATACTGTCACTGCTGAACCTTGCCAAATAACACGGTATTTGAAACTTTCAAGTAACCCATCAGATGCTTGTTAGACATCTTTGTATATTGCTAAAGAAAAGTAAATAAATCAATTGAGCTGCGGCTAAAGAAGAAAAACACCAAGCCAGAGGAGCTTCTTTTTTTAAAGAGAAATTAAAGGGGTTTAGTGCCTGGGATAACAGAAAATCACCTGCAACTTTAACTATAATCACTACTATACCCTTTAAATGCTGAAGATAATTGCAAAATTGGCTCACTGTATGTTCCTGTCTCATGAACAAGTTTAGTGACCAGAACAGACCAACCAGGCAAGGATCCTCTTTGCCAGGTGATGACAATGGATTCTTTATAGTGTGTGTCATTGTTGAAAATGGGAACTGCACTCTTGCTTTCATTATGTTTGAAATATTGGTTAACTTAGAAAATGTCAGCAGAGCTGTATCAAATAGGACAGTGAACATGTTAATAGTTGTTGTTCCAAGTATTTGAATATTCATTTGTAATTGGCACTGCCAACTCTTCCAGTGGAGAATTGGAATATTGGAAATGATTTCAACCCTGATGGGGGAAAAAACACGTTTCTCATCTGAAATTGTCAGTATGAATGGCACTCCCACCCAAGCACTGGACACCACTGCATTTAAGATAGATGATTTCAATAACTGGACATATAATGTTCATCCATAGAAACACACACCGTTTCCTTTTATTGAACGTGGCTATGTATTCAAAGACACAGTGGCAGCAAACCTTGAGGGGAGGCCGATATTTTTTTTAGGGGGGAAATGATATTTTGGGGGTTATGTGTTTTGACTCTTTGGAGAGATTTTGTGTGTGGTTTAAGAGGAAGCTATACTTTACATCGTCTTTGCTTCAGGAAAGATGTCTAGATAGTAAGCAAAAAAAATCCTTGGGAGAATAGGATGATTCATTGAGGAGGAAAGACAGCACCTGGATGCATGGCAATAAAAGGGCCATTCAGTTAAAACAAACAAACAAAACACTAAAAAGTGAACACAAAGACCTAAAGTCTCCATTTCCATGAAAGGGGAAAATTGCTCATAGGTTAGAAAGGATGTAGGAACCAAGACACATTCTCCCCCCATCTGAGAAGAATGAGTGCTTGTGTGGAAGGGGCATTATGCACTAAAACATAAGATCGCTGGAGATCAAATGCCTAGCCCACAAAAATAGTTGTTACATTTTTATTATTACAGTTTAACTTCTTTTATATCAAACTGAAAAAGTAGGGCTTACGTGGGTGCCAACAAAATTGTTAGAAATTCAGGAAAACAAAATTCCCACAAACATTTATTGTATATATTCCCTAGAGCATCTTAAATGCTGCCTGAAAAACTTATTTCAACGATCAGTAGTCTTTCCTTTTTTTGTCTTTATCTCTTTTCTCTGTTTTCTTTCTTTCACCATCTAAGGGCCCAATCCTGTAAGGAGAGCCACATAAGTTGATCCCTGCATCCACATGATTGGGACCAAAACGTTCCTCTTCTATAACAGATTGCTGTGGGTTCACCTTTCAGTAACCCTTAATCCAGAGTTTATGTTAATGAATTAAAAAAATAGCAAGAGTTCGTGAAAGTAATGACAGTATATTCTTTCAGAATGAACATGATTTAGGTGTTTGATTCTTCAGGAATTGATGATGTTTGATCAGACAAGACCACTTAAAAAGAGCACCACAGGATTTTTATTACTTCTTTGCACAGTTGGATACCTGTTCATGTTTGTTCTATTTTCTAGGTCTAAATTTAAGGGTGGGGTTTTCAAAACTCTCAGTGCTGGCCTAATCTTGCTCCCGGGATGTCAATGGTAAAATCCCCATGGGAATGCAGTTAGGCCCATTCTGAACACTTTTGAAAATCCTACCCTAAATACCTAGATTTAGTATAAAGACTGCCTTGTATAATTTTACTGTAAGGTTTGTTTCTGAAATTTTTCCAAGTTATGCTTTTTGTGATGCATCTAGCATACTCTAGGATAGTGGTTCCCAAACTTGTTCCGCCGCTTGTGCAGGGAAAGCCCCTGGCGGGCCGGGTCGGTTTGTGTACCTGCCGCGTCCGCAGGTTTGGCCAATCGCGGCTCCCAGTGGCCGTGGTTCACTGCTCCAGGCCAATGGGAGCTGCTGGAAGCAGAGGCCAGTACATCACTCGGCCCACGCCGCTTCTAGCAGCACCCATTGGCCCGGAGCAGCGAACCATGGCCACCGGAAGCCGCGATTGGCCGAACCTGCGGATGCAGCAGGTAAACAAACCAGCCCAGCTTGCCAGGGTCTTTCCCTGCACAAGCGGCGGAACAAGTTTGGGAACCAGTGCTCTAGGATGCTTTAAAATAATAAATGGTAATATAAAATGTGAGCTGCTGATACCCACACAAGCCACAACCTTCAACGGCAAGGTTTCCGCACTGCTGAAAATGAATCTCTCGCCAATCTATAAATCATGGGACGAAATCTGAGAGATCAAGTATGAAAAAGCCACTTCTCAAATAGCCATTTGAACTAACCTGCACCCTTTTGCCTCAAAAATTGTAAAGGCAGAGCTTAGCATAGAAATCAGTTGAGTCTTTAATATTATGCCAACAATTCAGGATTTTGTGTCCTCTTTATAACACTATTTCTGTGCATTGTATATAGAAAAAGCCTTATAATTTAGTAGTAAGCATACATTATACTCGGAGGATACCTCAAGCTGAGGCCTTAAAAGATATTTGACTTCTCATATAATTTATTACTTAAGCTATAAACTATATTTATTTTGTTGTAAAGTATTTTTTCACCTTCCTATTTGCTGTACATCTTCTTACTTTCTGCCCATTTATACCAGTGTAACTTCAATCAAATTATGAAACTGGACTAACAAGTACAGTATCAGTGCTATCCTGGGATTTCAGATTTTGTGTACAGAGTTTAACTGGTGTAAATCAGTGTTTTTTGCCATGTTGTTCCACTGAGCTTCATATTAATATAGGTTTTCCTTATTTTGTTTCTGCTTTTAATGTGTGACTGAACGACACAGAAACAGTGGAGATGTTGTTAAATAGTGTTTTCCATGTAACTAAAATAATTTTAACACCCCATTGCATTACTAATCTGGTGCAGTGTTTCCTTTTTATGTAGTAGTTAGATAGTTAAGGTGGCTCTGTTACAATATGTATTTTTAATTATACTACCTAATTCCTGTGTGTGTGATCCCTTCTAGCTCACCAGTTGACCTACCCATCTAAAGCACCCTCACCTTCTGTACCACAGCCACCTCACTCCCCCTTAAGCAATGGATTTCACTACACATTTGTCTAAACACCTTAAAAGTAAGAACTAACTGCTCTTGGCATGTCTAATTTGTCCTTACATCTTTGCTTTAACTTTGTCAAAAACTAACACTTTTTACTACAATAATGTAAAATTTATCCAAATTAATGCATGCATGCAGTTTTCAGTGATCAGAAGACTCTGTTCTCAGACAGTAAATATTTCTACTTATGAACTAATCACGAGCTAGCAAAAGCCATTAAGGTGATTGCTGTGGGTTAAAAATAAGTAAAGGCTGTTTTGATCATCTTAGTGTGGCAAAAGAAAAACTAAAATGTCAATGCTATTGGCAAATTTGGGGCCACATTTTCAGCAACAATTTCCAGTATTGAAAATGTGCGCATGTGTCTTCACCTGCAAAGTGGCACACACTTCTGTTGAGCACCGTACCTGCAAAAACGGGAATCCTTGTACACAGGCAGTTTTGGGTCTGCATGCAATTTTGTGGGGACAAACAGGTGCATTTTTGCAGAAACTAAAATTAAAGTTCAGTTTGAGACAAGCTGGCCTTGTGTAATTAACCTTCCAGTAGTTTGTTCGACTGATGCCATGCATTCAATGTTTTTCCATTAAATTATTATACTAATGGAATGATAATGTTTTCCCCTCATTTAGGTTAGTTCTTAGCTGCAAGTATCGTGGGCACCATTTTAAAAAGGACATTTATTGCACCACCATTAAAAACGAACATATACTGGCCATTTCAATGGTATTTTGCATTATTCCCTATACTTAAAATGGGAAATACTTACCAATAGTTAAATATATCATAATACTGACAGTATCCCAATTTGGCACCCACTGTACCTCCAGAATTTACTATTCATTCATTCTTGTCTTTCTGCTTTCAGATGGTCTGGTTTTCTCTCATACGATTGTATAAAAATACATGAAATAAGTTTAGTAGTAAGTGTGACTGAACATCTTTAAAAGAGTTAGTCTCTGGCTACCATGGTTTCGTTTTTGGAGTACTTTTAAGATCAGCACTTCTCAGAGTTAAGAAATCTCCATATTTAGATAAGCTCTAGAAAGGCCCAATACTGCACACACATCAGTTTATGTCAATAGGAGTTCTGTTTAGAATGGCTGCAGAATTGGACCTTAAGGTCGTAAAAGGTGACTTGCCTTCAGCAAGGCATATCACAAATGATAGACTGACAGCTGTAAAGTTGTTCTGACATCACTCAGAGCAGCAGGGGAACGTGATGGAAGTGGACTAATGTCTGCCTTGTTCACTTTCTGATTTGGAGGGCCTGATTCCACCACCCTTGCTCAAATTGAATGGCACCTGACTCTTCTAGTAGTCCCATTTAAGTCAAAGCGGATTACACATGGAGTGAGGTGTTTTTCCACGAGTAAGAGTATCAGAATCTGGCCTTGAACTTTTGAAAAGGGTGCAAAAAATAAAAGCACTGTCCCCAGATACCAACAGGGAACTTGTACTAGGGAATTACTCCAAAAACTCACATCCAAAGTTCACATTCTCTTTAAGGGACAGAGTTAAGGAAAGAATCTAGTAATTTTAGCCATTACATTAGGGACACAATGATTCTTCTAGATCAGTGGACATCTTCCAGAATTTCAATGGCATCAAATAATAATTGGTCATACAATTTTAAATATCTATTAATTATCCATCCTATCCTACTGAGGGCTGCAATACAAAAACATGTTTTTCTGAAAATGTGTACTGGTTGGCATCAGCATACACTACCATATTTGACTGCATTTTGTTTTAATTCATACCAGCCAAAGCAGTAACTGAACATTGACATAAGATACAACCCAACAACCATCTGATGCCAGAGCGTGGAAGAAAGAATGTCTTCATTACACCAGCTTCTCTGAAGATACTCATCAGCTGATCATATAATTTTTCAAAAACAAATTCAGAGAATAATAGAGGGATTTTCTATGAAAAACAAATAAATTCAAATCATTTTAGTTTGGCATTGTTTTAGTTCAGACTTTTTATATAAATAAATGGCACTTTTAAAATACTCTGTAAAATACTGATATATTTTTAGAAACAGAATATATTTTAGATGTTTTTAATCAAGGGCTGAGTTCATTTTTTAAAAAAAGCTGCTTACACAGACTTTACAAAATATTATTGCTTCACCCTCAAGTTCAGATACATATCGTAAAGCCTCTTGACAAAATGTAAATCAAATAATCTTGGAAGCACATCATGGCATTTGGGTAAAGCTAACTTAAGTGAGAAGCTTACTGAGAATTTTCTTCTTTTTTTGGCAAAATTGATCACTCTCATGTGCCCTTTAAATAAGAAATAGCAAAGGACTCAGCTTGCATTTCTAAATGTTAGTAACTGTCATGTTCACACAATGAACAAAATTATGGCACTCAGCTGCTAACTCCTGTACATTTTTTAATTCCATGTAGTTAATCTTCAAATATCAGTACCCAGTATGTTAGCATTGACAATAGCACTGTCCCCATCAGTAACAAGAAGCTACAAAAATATTTTTTTCTTACATTAAGAGGACTGGGAAGTAAAAGAAATTTTAATTCTAATGTGTGAAGTAAGCAATAAAATGTTAATAGAATGTGTGATTTTACTAGTAAATATATATATATATATAATTGTTGTAATTAAAAAGCAATATGTGATGGTACTGCATTATCCTGGAAACAACAGAAATAATGTAACGTGGCACTTGCTAATTTTGTATGTAAATTTTACTGGTGCTTAATTTTGCCAAAACTTTCAAGTCGGATGTTTTGCTTGGGTATAGGGTGAAGAGTTGGCCAGTTACATATGAAGAAAATGAGTTTAAATGAATTGCTGTTGCTTCTTTACTTGAAAAAAGTATGTGTACACTTTCAGTGTAAGGCATGCAAAAATCGCACAATACTGTGTAATTTTTAGTTGAGTCCAGTGCTAAGAGAGGAATGATTCATGAATACTTTGCAGTGTTTTGCGAGACTTTTAACTTCTGTTTCTTTGCTGCATTCAGATAATGGGTTTAAAAAAAACTACATGGCTTCATATTTGTTTAAAATGCATAAAATAAAAATTGATATTGTATTTTTACGATACTCAGAAGCTATTCTTAAGAAATATATTTAGAAAATGCAGTCTATTTTTAACTAACTCAATACTGCCAGTGTCAGCTTCATAACATTTTGCCAAAATAAAATTTTTATTTTTGCCTTTATAAAAAATGTTTAAAAAGAAATTAAACGAATATTTTGCAAGAAAATGTTAATTTAAATAAAATGTAACAGTTTGGGGGAAATGGTGTATGTACAGATTAAAATATTAACATAACACTTCTGCTTTTGTCTTGTCAGCTGTTCTGTTGATCATTTTCAACATTGTTTTTAAAATCCCCGTTAATTACATTTTGCTCTCCCTGGTTCTGACCCAAAGCCCATTGCTGTCCATGGGAGTTTTTCCATTTACTTATATAGGATTTGAATCAGGCCTCCTGGGTACCAAGTGCTGAACTTAGGACGGCTCTTAAATACATACTTAAGTCCATCTCTATTCAGGAAAGCACTTAAGTACAGGCTTTCCTGAACTGGGTCCTAAATGTTGATCTTTCCTAGTTTACAGTTTTCTCAACTGCCAAATTCTTGACACTTGATATAGTATGAAATTAAAGTAGCTAGAATAATTTACATATTCTGTGTGCAAAAACTGCCACTCCGTATCTCTAATCCTGTAAACATGCAGTTGCTTGTGCAATGTATAGACACATGTTAACCAATAAAATGTCTGGAAACCAACTGGAATTTAAGACTTCTGTAATAGCAGGTGAGAGTCAATTGGTACTATGACAGTGCCGTCAAATTACATGGGTTTGATACAGACTACTGGAGGTTTTTAGTTCTTGACTTTCTTAAACTTGAACTACTTAATACAATGGAATGTAGGGAACAAACAGTCAATAACTTTTAAAAAAGAAAATCTAGATATTTCTGTGGTTCAGTATTGACATTGTGAACTTCAGAGAGTTTAAGTGAATATTTGACTTCAAATTGTGAAGAGGAAACGCAAAGCTGATATGCTTATGAAACCCTTGTCCCATTTGTGGGGACATGCAAGGCCTGAAAAGTAAAGGAACCCTCAGCCATAGGGATTTGTGATGTGTCATGGTTCTGTAAAAAAAATGTTGTTGATGCAGAAGGGGGGGAGTGTGTGGGCTATGCTGTGGGGAGGGGGTGCAGCCAGTGGGTTCATGAACTACTTCAACCCACTGACCAAAAATTCCACTTGTCTGTTGTCTTTTGGGAGGGGGGAGAGAAGCACAGCTGGTTGTCATAGTAGTTGTGTAGCTGCTCTACAGGTTGTGATGAGGCTATTCATATTCTCCTCCCCTCCCATGTACATCATTCACACACAACCTGCTTACTTGAGCTTCATATGAGATGCAAGAATTTCACCCTTAACAAACATACCATTAATGTTTTGAATAATAAACTGATCTTCTTGAAAACTCTTGGTCTTAGACAAATCAAGCAATTTATATGTCCATAATTAACCCCATATTTTGGAAAAAATATCCCCAAGTATGACACCTTTTTTCAAAGCCCTTATTTAAATATAGATATGGTAATGAGTTATCTGGTGACCACTCTGTGTGGTGGTTTTCTTTTTTCAATTTCATTTTGCATTTATTCACCAAAACAGTCTTATCTATGTACTTATACAACACCCATCACTAGCATCAAAGCTAGAAAATTATGATGTATTCACAGTGGTATCTTTTAATCAGACAACGTTCAATTTCAAGTCCTAAAATAGTTGGAATAAAAATAGGGGTTTTTTTTCATTTTGATTAACTAAAAATATTAGACAAATAGTATCTGTTTTTCTTTTGGAGGAACTAATTTGTAATTGATCTGTGTATTTTTTACACCAAGCAAAAATTCAGTGTTTTTTAATCTAAAGACCTCTTACGTTTCTTCCTTTCACCCGTGTGTGTTATTAGTTTGTTACATTACAAAGTGGTTGCACTGATGACAGGTTACAAATTCACAACACCCTCAGCCTTGTAATCCTCAGACCTGTCAAAAGTCTCCCTTTTTTTAACTGAATGGACACTCCTTTTGTTTATTTTCCTACCCATTGCTCTAGTTTTGCATTTGTGTGGCAGGCTGCTAGGGAGTTTTGGTGATGACATTGCCCACACTGGGTTAACTATAGCTCTTCGAGGGAATGGAGAGCAATAGTGGTGATAAACACTAAAACTAATTTAATCCAGGACAGCCAGAAACACCCACAAGGAGTAAGCTGTATTGGAGAGATTTTTTTCACCAGTCATATTAGTTTAGTGGATTTTATTCTAGAAAATCTGGTTTGCGTGCAGAATATTGTTATACATGGCTCTGCCACCTGCAAGTTCATAAACATATTACCAAACCTTTATTGTTTAAAAAAATGACAAACCCTGAGTAAAGTTGATTTAAATGGCTGAAATCTGCTCAAGGATTGCTGTTTTGAATCTATATACAATATAATGCTTATGGCATCTTTTAGGTATTGCTTACAGCTTTATTTTCAACTCATGCTATTTACTTAGTTGATTTCTAAGTCTCAAAAATGAAAACAAAAACAAACAAAACAAAAACCAAACGTATGAGGTAAGTTCTGAGGCTTCACTTCTCTGATTTATGTCTGTCTTTGGGTATTTTAAAGCATATGCTTGTGTAGTAGATGTGTGGATTGCGTAGTTATAAAAAGAAAGAGACATGCACAGGAAAGACATGAAAAATTGCTATATTTTTCCACACCTGGTAAACATTCCCATTGGTTAGTTGGCTGTATTCAAAAGGCTAAGACTTTTATTGCTATGCTAGCAAAAGCAACCTTTCTTCATAGTGGAACAGTACAAAGGAAAAGCACAAAATGTACACACATCACAGTGACTGGAATTCTGTTTGAACAACTGTATTGATTGGGTCTGACCCCTTTACACTTTTTTTTCTATTATTTGAAAAGGTGCATCTAAGTGTAGCTGAATTGAACCAACTGAGATGAACTTTCCATGAAAACTTCTTGAGATACTGCTTTTAGTTCAAAGCTTTGGAATTTTAAAGGGCATTTTTAATATAAGCCTGTTGAGGTATTCTGTGCCACAACCATACTTTGAATATTAAACTACAGGTAAACCTAAGGAGAAAAACATAAAATTGTGAAGCCTACCATAAATTATTGGTAACATTGGACTCTAGGTATAAAACAAATTAAAAATACAAAACTGTACCATGTAGAATCCTAAGAATTAAAAAATGTGTTATACTATTATTCATGTAAAGAACCATGAATGTACTTGGTGCTTTACAGACCTATAGAAGGACAAACAACAAAACAACAACATCGGACGACAATTTCAGCTAAGGTGTAAAAGCACTATTGGTGAGAACGTTACAAAGAATTCTTGGAAAATGTGAGCTTGAAAGATGGAGTGGGCTGGGGGTGGGAGGTTCTAGATGCCCTAAGAATGGAAGGCTTTTTCAAGAGGTTGTGGGTATCAAAGGGGAAGTTTACTGAGTATGGGAGATGAGTGGAGCAGTAAAATAAGAGGATTTGGAGGAAATAAGAGCAGAGATCAAGTTGCAAGCAAGATTGAATAGGATCCTGAAGGTAAGGATGAGGAATGTGAATTGTGTGGTGAAACAGGATGCTAGTAAAAGGATTCAAGGAGAGGGAAGAAAGATGGCTGTAGTAGTTGGACTTCAGTTAGCCTGGAGAGGGAAAGGTGAGAAAAGAGAGGCCTGGTAGGAGAAAGATAGTGATAAAGTTGAGATGA